ACGTACCCCCTTCTGTGTCTTTGGCCATATTTGTTTGAGTTGAAAGAAAGGTCAAGGACAGACTGGTATCTCAGGACCTGCTGTGAATGACGCTGCACAATTCCGCTTTCGATAGATGATTATATGAAAGGCTCACACCGGGGGAGCAGACAGGAGAAAGGTATAACATACTGTCATTGGCTATACTGCTACACTTTCAAAAAGCAGTTGCCTATAAAGTTTGGAAGGCCCACAAACTGTGATATTCAAAGCTGTGCCCGATTTAGACTCTGACCCACCCGAAGCTGCCAGAAATCCACTGACACTACAGAGTCAGGGATTATTTTCACAAAGTCACTTCTGATCAGCCTTGAGTCAGAACTGTGTGGCCAAATCCTCCCAGAGTGGACCATTTTTAGGGACTTCTGCCGTCATCCTAACTTCCTCCTCACACAATTGGGAATCTTCTCCGGTTTCCTCCGTCTATCCTGTAGGCACATTATATATACTTTCTGTCTTGTTATTAAAATTTGACTTTTAATGTCAGTCTACATTTTTGTCATTTCTCCAGCAACAAGTATACACAAAAACAGATAGGTCAGTTCTCCAAAAAAAATGTTTTACCGATCAAACTTTTTCTTTTGTTTTTAGGATTCTAAATGATTAAAAAAAGCTCTGTCTCACATGTTGGATGCTAAAATGTTTCATAGCCATTTCAGTTAGAACACATGTGAATGGCGGTGATTAAATGCAACTACAGCATAGGGGCATTAACTTTACTAACAAACTATTTTGTATTCATTATTATTATTATTATGTCAATGTTGCAAAGGCCTTATATCCTTTTATCTTTATGCCTTTGCAAGAACACGCAATACCAATTTGATGAAACAAGCAGGCCTAGGATCCAGCATAGTAGATATAAGTACTGTATAGGTCCTTCTGCCCCGCGACGTTTTGTAAATAGTGAATACAACTTCATTAGGACATTAGAGGAAAGGTTAAAAGGTTAAATAAACACACTTTTTGTTTATGATTGATTATGTGCAAGGGAGCAATTAGCGATGGAACACGTTCAAGAGAGTGCCCTTGTTGAAGGAGGTCTTAAGGGTTTTTTAGTATTCAGCCCGTGGCCATGCAGCTGTTTGCATTGTTAACTTGTAAACGTTTAATTAAGTAGTTACCACACACTATGTAATGTAGTGACATCGTTGTGCGGCTTGTGACATTTATCTGCTTTTCTTTCTGTCTCTTCCAAATGCCCATCTGACCCTATGCTAAATCCAACGATGATCCAAAGTTCAAAATTGATAACACGCAAACACAAACTAAAGGTCATTTTACATTTAAGTCAGTGGTGTGTTTTTTTACTTCCATAAAAAGCAAAACCATTGAGATTCAATTCTCAGTATTAAAATGAAAATACCTTTTTAAATATACAAAAAACTGTATTAACAATAAGTGACATTTAAAAAGAACAAAAAAATATCTCATTAGCTTTACTGCATACAAACTGCACTGCAAGTTTCAATTCCAATATATTTTATTTTTCTAAGTTTGGCTCAGTGAGGGCCTGCTCTTATGCACCTGCCAAAAGGTCAGATGGTCAAAGTTTTAAGATTTTTGACATACCAATAACTACAGATTGTCAGAAACTACAAATTGCCACATAGCAACATTCCGTCAGTGATTACATGCTCTGCCTTTCCAGCCCATCGAGGGGAGAAGTTCCATCTTTGAACTAAGCCAACGTTCCTTTTACAAGTTTGAAAGCTTCTAACCACATCTGCCCTGCGGTACACTTCCTCTACATTCATAGCAAAGTGTCTTGTCCTGCTTATACAGAAACTCTTTGACACATAAAAGGAGTCTGAAGAAGTACGTCTTGTTATTGCACTCGGTCAGATCTTGCAGTCAGCAGAATGCCGATTAGAAATCCCACAAAGTGCTCTGGTTCATGCGGTGGCAGTTTTGTGAAATATGATCCGTACAAAAACACAGAAGGCTGGAGCACTTTGGCCTCCTGTGTAATATAAGTGCATAAATGAACTATAAAGTGGTTCTATTGGAGGGACTGAGGGAAAACAGGAAGCCTTAAGAGAAGATTATGGAAGTAATATTTACTTTAGGTTCTATAGTAAGCAACATAGCACAAAAAGTGAATGAAGTTTGGAGGTAGTCCAAATCACTGTTTGGATTCAGGGAGTTTGCCTCCATTTTTGCATTTCTTAAAATTAAAGGCATCAGTAAAACTGTTCAGTGGCATACAACGAAGCACTATGTGATAAGTATAATCTGAACACTTTTTGAAGAAGTATTAAGTGACTGTTACTTTTCCATAATAACTTGACCAACACTAGTAAATAAATTGCACAACTTTGTAAGTCATTAAGTGAACTCAGTTGTTTAGTAGTTGTTAGAATCTCAGTATACCAGACAAATGGGGAAAAAATATATATATATATTCAATTACGAGATAATCTGAATACAGGATTATATTTTTGTTCATGGGATGGAGTTGCGGTTCTTGAAGGTTGCCCTCTACAAGTGTCTTTTTCATCTAAACTTATTTTTTACTCTTTTACGGACTTGGCATAATTATTCCATTCATGTTGTCTGTACCAGGAAAACAATAGCATTTTAAAAGACACGTCTTGTGCTAAATGTAATTTCCGAGCATTCATATAAGATTGTCTCCTCTTCAAAGTTGAATCGATGAAAGTGTTTTGTAATTTTCTTGATAAAAGCTCCCTGATAAAAGTGGTTAAAATCACTTCATATTGAATTTAAGAGATCTATAACATATTTTTAGGGATAAAAATGGCACGTTTTAAACCTGTTCATGATATCCAGTCTGCCAAATCACACTCATAATAACCACATGATTTGTTATTCCTTATAGAGCTTTGAATACTTAACACAGGCTCAATCTAATCTATTTTTATTAAGTGTCAGTGTATGAATGCATGTTGATTCCAAAGTGAAGACTACAAAGATCAACATGATTGTGGAACGTTAAACCTTTTATTATGTTTGTGATTTGTCATGTGTATTGTTTTTATTTTTTATCTGAACGGTGGATGTGTGAGAAAATACGTGTGTCTTGTCTGCGGCTGCCATCTCCCATTCTCCTCCTCAGTGTAGACTGAGACAGACAGCAGATGAAAGAGTGCTAATAGCTTGGATCAGTCTGCTGGCTGGCAAACATAAAGATCAATAAAGAACCTTTTGGGATCTTTGCTTGTGAGTGAGTTTTAGTACTGTAGCTGTCTTTGGCTCTGAATTTGCTCTAGTACGATAGAGGGATTAGTAAATTTTTGCATGTTGTGAGAGGATGTATTCATGAGGGTTAAGGTTAGGGTTAATTGCTGCATATTGACAGAACTGGAACACAATGCTGTATATAGTATTGCAAACCATACATGAGAATAATGTGTATATTGTGTGTATACAGGAGACACAAAAACCAAGTGTTATGTTCATCTTTTTATTCAGCGTATCAAATTAAGCCTTGAGTATTCAAAATGTGTTCTTTCTTTAGAGATGTTTCTGAGTTTGTGTGAGTGTGAGACAAAAGCACAGGAAAAACTAAATTTAGTAATACTGATTTTAAACCCACAGATTATTGTGAGCTTCTCTCCGAACAAAGTGAGTTATTGATTGTGGCGCGGCAGCCTGCATCTTATTGCTGTTTGAACTGATGTAATGGAAAATTATGTGCGCTTTCACTCTGCGATTAATAAAGCCTTAATTGGGGAAATGAATGAGCTGCAGATGAAATATTGGAGCGGGTGTGTGAGCAAAGCAGCTGTCTCACTGGACCTGAACAGTGAGAGCTGTAAAAGAGACAAACCTAACCATAAGCTTTTTCTTTCTTTGTCGTTTGAACTGGGAATCAAAGGCATACAGAGAAGGGCAGAATTATTATTTTAGTAAACATGGGCATTGAAAAGAGTTTAATAAAGAATTTACAAAACCAGATAATTAAGTTGTTAGTTCTACACTCCATCTAGCATACAATTATTTTGCAATTTTTTTTTTATATTCAAACGTTCTGAAAAGTTGTCACCTAGGAGGGCAAATATGCAAAATTGACTTCTTAGAGCTTTGACAACATTTCTGGCACAAACATGTCACATGTCACTCTGCCACCTAAAAAAGTGATTTTAATTTCATTCAAACAACACCTCCCTCTGGTGTTAACATTGGAAGTTACATGCTGAAATTATATTTTATCCTTGATACATGATTTCAGCTTAAATAATATGGCAATAATTCTAACCATGATTTCTATGTCTGCTGCCCTACAGATTGTACTTATATGTCTTTCTTTATATTTCCTCAGATTCTACCCAAGAATCTTTGAGTGGACGGATCAAGCCATGGGAAAGTTGGTGGATCTCTGAGAACACTATTCTCCTCCCTCACTCCACTCCCTTTGTCAAGCCATAAAACGTTGGATTACCCCCTCCAAATCCTCTCTTCAAACCACCTTTCTACACACCATGACCGACTTTCCACTTGGGATACCCGGCTGCCATCTTCCATCTCTTCTGTTCTATCTTGCCTCATTTTTGTTGACCAAAAACTGTTGCCACGGTTCCACTTCAGGTCCAGAATCAGACTCCTGCTCCACGTTGGTCCAAAACCGCTTTTTTGGTTTCTTCAGATCGTCCGCTACATTTCCCAGTGTGCCTTGCTCATGGACGCTTCAGAATCCTGACCCAAGGCGCTACACTATTTTCATCAAAGTCACCAAACCAACGGAAGACTGTGTTCCTTCACAACTGCGCACTTTCCAATATGATTCATTCGTGGAAACTACTCGTACCTACTTGGCGATGGAGAGTTTTGACGAGGTGGTCAAAATGTGCGATACGTCAGCACCTGTGGCTTTTCTAGAAGCTGGGAAGCAGTTTTTACAAATGAAAAAGGGACCTGGCAGAATGGGGCTAGCAAATTCCAATGGCAATGGGGATTTTAAGACGGAATATTTGGTAGTTGGGAAAAGAAACCCAAGCATGGCCGCCTGTCAAATGCTTTGTCAGTGGCTGGAAGACTGCCTGGCCTCTAGCACCTCCAACAGGCCGTGTGGGATAATGCAGACGCCATGTTTATGCTGGGACCCACCTCCGCAACTTAACCCTGTGGACGGAGGCTGCTTCCACAATGGAGTTTACCTGGAAAACTGTTTGCCGAGTGCCAAGGAGAGCAAAAAGGATGCGGAACTTACCGGTGAGTAAAGAACCCTTGATTTATCTTGCGATTGCTTATTATTAAAAGTCATTTGTAGATTAATTTGTGTCAAATGAAGATGTTGATGTTGTCAATGCCTCTGGAATACCGATTGTCAAAAGTTTGTTGATTGATTTTATTGTGAGAAATGTTGCCATATTTCAGACAGTATTTTAACAATGTGAAAGAAATCGATAACTTTCCCAGGAGTTTTTGCTGATACAAATCATTTAAATCCTACTTGAAGTTTAAGATAATTCATTGGCATACTGTGTTTACGAAAAAATATACTGTATGTTAGCACTTCTTTGAAAATAATGTGAATATTGTTGGAATAGGTTGGACATTAGCAATTCTTACATTGCTTTAGTTTAATTTTTGTATGTATGCAGAGGCTACTACATGATTGTCAAGATTGAAGAGAGATTGACTATATCACATTGAAGCTCTCTGCACATCTGACATCTTTCCAAGTTTCTGGCCCTTCGCAAACTTCTCTGTTGTTTTCGCTGACCTCTTAGAAAACATTGCCCTTGAATATACTCAGGCCAAGCCAAATAATAGACAAAAAACATTGAAGTGTGGCCAAATTCATGTCATTTGTAAGGAGTGAGGGGTAATTACGTGACATCGGATCTGAGGCTCGCGGAGAAGTGCTTTGAGAGGAGACAACAAGAGAGCCATCCAGAGGTTAGGTTTCATGTGATGGAAATGAGACGCGTGTGCCCTTGTGAGGTCATCCCAGTAAAAGCGCCAATCTGAGAACATTGGATCTGCCCGCGGGACCGTCCTGGAACAGAGACGCATCCAGTGGTGACATTGGATCACTTTGGGGACGCGCTAGGAGCCAGGGTGTGGGGGTTCAACCAGAGCAAAGATGGCACAAAGACATCAAGAAGATTTGACAATTTCCTGCTTCATCCATGGAATCTTTAGTTCATCTGACAGTTCAAATTTTCTAGTAGCATTTGTAGTTGGATGATAAGTTTAAACTGAAGTAGTATTATTCAATACACAAATCAGTGTATTAGAATCCATTATTGGGATATAAAACAAACATCCAGGAGTGTCATAGACTATAAGTATTGCAGACATAAATCTGACATTGTGACAGACTTGCTTCCTGAGTATATTCATTCCTCCTCCATACATAACTCCATTCCCTACTTTTCTTCACTCTTCCTCTGTCCTTCTATGCTTTTGAAGACAAGATGTGGCCTGACATCTTGATCCTGCCCTCATCCGGACTACAGCTAGAGGGAGAGAGCATTTCCCGTCTCGTCTTTCGGCTCCAAACCCTCGCTTCATCCATCTTTGCTCTGATTCCTCTCCCCATCCCCCGTCGGACTGGCTCTGTGATGTGACCGCAAACCACCATCATGGCTTACTGACCCTTTTACTTAGATTCCTGTACAGTCCACTGACAGTCTACTGCAACGTCTTCAATATGCATCCATAAGTCATACAAATGACTTGCATTTGGAATGAATGGTTTTACAGTAACAAGAAATTTACATAGAGGTTTATGGGAGACCAGTACAAATGATATAAATTGTATGTATGTAAAACAACTTACAGTGTGTGAATTTTATGCTCTTTCTTAAAGCCTTATTCAAAACAGCCAACGCCTGAGGATATTGCTTGAATTAAAACATTTTTTGTTGTTAGAAGATACAATGCTACAAAAATGTTTATGTATGTAGTTACAATGGGCATATATAAACTAAACGTATGTGGCATCCTCTAACTTTGCTTTCCACTTGTGTTCCAAGTGTCCCGATTTACATAAAGTCAGCTCAAAACTGCTTTTATATATCAATATTCAACAAGGTTCAGACCAAAGGCTGGAGTACGTTTGTCAATCAGATGTCAAGCGTCTCTGACCCCAATTCTGATCCTGCAAAACAAGAACAAAAATGTTTTATACAAAGAGGTGTGAGAAAACACCTTATACACTAATTTTTTCCATTAAAATGTACACACTCCTTTTACCATTTAAAGTTCTATATCTAGTTATTAGTTGTATATTTGAGACATTGCAACAATATTGCGGCAATCTATTTCATTGGGTCATGTTATGTCCATTTTGCCGACCAATGTTTACTTTTTATGGTTAATCGACTGCTATAGATTGACTGCCAGGAAGATTGTGGGAAGCATTGTGGGAAGTTTTGAGTGCACTTACTGGGCATTGGACACTACTAAAAGATGAACTTTGAATTTTATTTCACTTTTCACGTTTGTACTCAAAGTTACTTTTTAAGCTTGATTCATGGACGTCTGTGTAAACGTTCATCTCCTGAATACAAGACACACAGCCACTATTCTGGATTTTCTTTTTTGTAGTTATATAAATTTTGGACTCACTGCAATTCTGAAACATCGCACAGACATTTTGGACTCAATTGAAAAAAAAAGTGCAGTCTTCTGTTCTATGACACAGGGAAGGGGAAGATACAAACGTTAAAGCTTTTATTTTTTTCTAATCAATGTTGAGAGTATGTCTTAACCAATAGTTTTTTTTCCCCCCAAATCTTCAAAAGCTGTAATCAACATTGCTTTTATGTATTCCTTGAATTGCCAGTACCACTCGTCGCACTCCTCCCTGTAGTCATACGGTGGGCTGCGACTGAGCCCCTTCGGAGTCATTGCACAGGGTACATCCTCCTCCACTCTTCCACAGTGGCTAATATCCCACTCTCCACACTGATACTTAGTGTGCTTATGTAAGACTGTGGAGAGCAGGGTGTGGGCTGCACGCGCCTCTGGCTGAGAAAAATAAAATAAAAAGACAGATGTATACATTTTTTCTGTGGGTGCGTGGAGACATTGGAACAGAAGGACAAGGCTTCACTGCTGCCTGCTCAACCCACGTGGACAAAATGCCTTTTAGATGTTAATCCCAGTCGCACTATGCTTAAATATGCTAAATCAACTCACAGATGAATTTGCTTACTGTAGCCGGATTTGAATGTAAAGCAGTTTGGAAATCGGAGTTTTGAACGTTGCAGGATTTAACTACAATAATACCATAAACAAAGAAAATATGAATGAATTCAAAGAGACTTTTATGTTTAGTCAACATTAAAATTTTGAGAAAAATAACATCCATTTCAATATAAAAAGTGTAAATAATAATTATCAGTTGTTTTTCATTCAATAGATGTAAAATGATAGAAAAGGACTCCATACATATGGATAATATAAAGATAGGCTATAAATGTTAGAATGTATTGTAAAATATGTGTGACAAGTCTCTATTTTACTTTGTAAGAAATACCCTTCTACAAAAACAAATACAATCTACATATCCACAAAATGAATAAACATTTTAAACGAGAATGCAAATAAAAAATATAAATTTACTTGTTAGTGGCATTCCCATGTAGCTACTGTCATGGCTGAGAGGGGATTTACATTTGAAATTGGCCTCAAGAAAGAGCTCAGAGAGCAGGAATATGATGCAATAGTAAAGATACAGAGCTCAGACTTGGACTAAACACAGATCTGCTCTGTTCGCTCAGAAACCAAGACTTATGTCATAAGAAATGTCACTTTATAGACAGATATTTGGTTTGATGATGGGTTTAAAGGCAAAACATAAGAATGGATTGATGAACTAACATTGAACTAACAATAATTTAAGGACGTTTTAAGGAATACTTTGTGTTTTCAATCAATGCGCAGCCTTTTATCTTGATACAACCATAAGCACATTGAGCTTTAATAATGGGATCAATCAACTGTAATTGTGTTTTGCCCCTGCGTTTTATACCAATACAGAATTGAATAATTTTATCATAATAAAGATATGATGTCTTTCTTATGGGTCATTTCTCCCATCTTTACCCCTGAGTATATTTATCAGCTTGACTGTGGCCTTATAAGCGACAGCCCTGTGAGATGATAGCCTCTCTTCACTGCTGTGGTGAAGCAGCCATGGATCAAATGGAAGATGAGAGCAGTCTGTAAAAATTTGGCCGGGCGGCTGAGTGGACGAGCGACTCTCTTTCCCCGGATGAAGATAAAGAGAAGTGCGGGATGGTGTCTGGGGTGTGTCTACTGTATGTGCGTGCTTGTGCGTGCGTGTGTGTGTGTGTGTGTGTGCAGATAGCATGTGTAGTTATGGCTTCGTGTGCAGCTGCTTTAGAGATGAACTGTAGTCTGTGAGTGATGAAGGAGGAGCGGTGATACGAACTTCAGACTGATGAGAAATTAAACCTGTTTGTAGCTATTCATCAATTTAAACATTTAAACTGTGATCCCTGATTATCACACCATAGAAACATAGAAACAATAACTTCATGTGACTCCCATAAATTAAAGTTTTGTTCAGTCAAATTAAGGAAAGATTTTCCTAATGGCATATCTGGGTCGTCGAATAAGACTCCAATGATTTTAATAAACAGGTAATAGGGTCATGCAGGTGTCTTTCACACAGTCTTTCACACATTCACACAGTATTTTATTATTGCTTTCATGGATATGCAATGCCAGGATTTCTAATATCTGGGCAACATGCAGGACATGTTACTTGGTTACTTAAGACGATATTTACTGCAATTTTAACAAATTATCTGAATAGATTCAAAGTTGATGCTGAGGACAGAGACTAGGTCATTTAGTATTTTTACACAAAACACAAAAAGAAAATATGTATGTAATGTGTTGTTAATTTGTCCAGGACAGTGCATGTTAATGAACACATCCGTGTGTTCTTTATCATAGGCTTGGATTCTGGATTATAGCCCCCCAGGCTATAATCCAGAATCCCCCAGGCTATTTTCCATCCACTGGAAATTACCCTGGGGGAAAGATACCCAGACGCTGGGAGAACATGCAAACCACACAGAGAAAGGCCCCTCCTCTACAAGTAAAAGCGCTAAAGTAATGCATAATATTTTTCTGGTACACAACTGTCAGCCAGTGTGTAAACACACCTGTAATCATTTGAAGTGACAGGTTAGACGCATATTGGCTCAGAACTTCAGAGAGAGTTCATATTATTTTTAAGCATGCTCAAGACACACCTTTTTAGATTGACTTTTGGTTAGTATTTATTATTTATTATTGCATTTTATATATTCTATTTATTTTCAAACACTTTTTAAAATGATCTATTATTGTTATTCATTATTTTTATTAGGTATTGCTATTTTCTTTATAGTCTCACATTTTAATGTTTTACTTTTTATTGTATTGTTTTAGTATCCCCAGTTTTTCATATGGAGGAGCCCTCTGCACTGGGAGTGGTGATCAGCTGTGGCTATGGGCTCCCATCTCACTTCATGGTTTAACCCATCTAACCCACCTGATGTGACTGTGCATATGTGTGAGGGAGTGAGTAAGTGAGTGAGTGAGTGAGCGTGTGTGTATATTTAATAATATATTTGGTGGGTCTGGTGGAGGGATCATGGGCACGTGGGATTGTTTTATTATCAAACTGTAAAGCACTTTGTGTTGCATCTGTTTGAAAACTTTATTAACAACATTTGATTGATTAATTTAAATAGTTCAATAGCTTTTGGTTTCAAAAGCAGCAGGAGAGTCTGTAGTCAGAAGACATGTGTTTGGAGTGGGCAGCAGACTTGATTTGGATGGATGGTCCAGATTGACCTACACAGTCGGGCCATCCTACTCTTAGCTCCTCGTTGCAGACGGTTCATGGATTAAACTCTGTGCCTGTGGAGAGAAGGAGGACCAGGCACAGATAGAAGGCCAGGCCTGCTGATGTCACCCCTGAGCTGCTCGTTCTAAGCCCAGGGATATGATTTTGCGCTCCAGGCTGGTTATAGATTGACTTTTCTCTTCGCCCAGCGTCCTGCGGCCTGTTATGGATTTTAGGAAGTTGTTAAACTATCATTATGACAAGTTTTCAACCATAGCGTCCCAGCACAGTGACAATACAATAGGCCTAATATTAATGGTCATTGCAGTGGGATAGTATTATAGCATTTTCAGATGTGTCCATATAGAACGTCCATATATGGTGTCAGTATTCTTTTATGACCAGTGAGACAAGTCTGTGAACTGTCCATATGTCAATGGGTGTGCAGGGTTTACAATGCATCAAAGAACTGGCTCCTTGCACTGTACTATTGTTCACCAACGCTGCATCAATGCAGTGTTGTTGCGTTTTGGACGCATGTTAATAAAGCCGCAGGTCTTAAATACAAACCAACATACTGAACGCACAGTGGAAGTGGTGAGCGGGCTTTGGTGCAGATGAGTTTGAGCTAGCAGCTTTTTGTTTACTTTCATAAAGTTTTTCAACATGCGTCCCCCATTATCAGTCCTGCTGTACAGTCTGGTTAGTTCTTGTGTTGGCTGTTTTCGAGTGTCTTCTTAAAACGCTGTTCTTGTC